TAACAAAAAGATTTAAACTGACAACAAAGAGTTCCGAAATGGCGATAATTGGACAGAAATGGCTGAGAGATGCAAAATAGCAATAAGAAGAATTAAACCACTTGAGGAGATGGCTGCAAGAAGAAAAATGAGAATGGTGTAACCTTGTGACAAAGGGGCATAAAATGGCTGTGAGATACAATATGGTCACAAGGAGGCCAAATGGCTGAAAGTGAACTTAACTTGCATGAAGAGGTGCAAAGTGGCAATAAAGTTTAAAATGGTTAAAAAGATGCAAAATAGGTACAAGGCAACTTATGTTAGCCATGAAAAGATACAAAATGAAGACTGAGAAACTAAAATTGATCACGAAGAGAAAAAACACAGTGACGAAGGGAAACGAAATGAGAATACGAGGAAATGCGAAATTGTTACAAGCATACATAATTTGATGACAAAAAGATGAAAATCTCTACAAGAGCAATTAAATAGAAATAAAGAGATGCAAAATGGTAACGAACAGACATAAAGTGGCTACAAAGGGACATAAAATGAACAAAAAAGCATACAAAATGGGACAAAACGGCAAGAAAGTGATATCCTACATTCAAATCAAAGCACAGCGCTGCTCCAAAGAGACACAAAACAGCTCGGCTGCACCGCAGTTGTGGTTTGTGTGTCCTTGAGCCTGATGTCTTAATCCTCTGTAGGAGGGTTGGTGGTCTTGTGCATCTCTTTCCCCAGGGGCCTGCTGTCTTGTAACCCATTCATGGTAAGGTCACCGCAATGCTGCTTGACACACTGCATTTATATTGTTCATAGATACGTATTCATGAAGCTTTAATGTAGTTCAAAGAATGAAAAAACTTCCTTTATCTAAACCTTCCTTCACCTTTTTTACATTTATACCTCGCTGAGGATTTTACATCGTCACCACAGCTTAATATAGAGACAGGAAGTCACGTAAAAAGTGTCCACAAGGTGAGTAAGTCGGCTAAGCTTAGAGGATGTATTGAATGAATGTGCTGAATCATTCAGGTCACCATGTTGAGACTTAGTGCTTACCAAACACACTGAGGGACATACAGGCATGTGGGAGACGGAGAGCAGGAATGTACAGCAACTATACCTGAAATCAATTAGAGAAGAATCTGGATTGTATTGCATCATTTTATGTTCACGATGTACAATATCCACAAAAACTCTGTCATTCAGTTTCAAATTAAGCTGAAGGTTTTGCAGCTGCTTTAACACCGAGCTAAAAGTACCCAAAAAGTTAGTTCTGTTCATCC